CCACCACTGACCACGCGAAGCACGCATTGTCCGTCGTACGCACACTGATCACCGCTCATTTCGTCGCTATTTCCCGCGGCACTTCGATATGACATCCCGCGCGCATGGGATTTAGTTTATTCACGTTGATAGTTAAATTGAGGATTCGCGACAGACCCGCTGTCGCGTTCTTGGAACTCTTCGAGCGATGTCAACGTGGGCTCGATGACGTGCCGCTCGTACCATTCGCGCAAATCGGTGTATCGGTATATCTCAATGTTCTTAGTGTTTATACATTTAATGGCGCGTTTATCTTTCGTCGCAAACTCACCGTTAAACGCTGTGTTTACTTTCACGCTACCGTGTCTTTCTACAGCGTCTCGCACGATTTCGAGCACTATTTCTCTCGCGTCTTCTAAAAACCGCCGCGGCTCGATGTAATTAGAATTTAACACAGCGCCCGTCAATATGCGGCTTTCAAACGCGGCGTCGATCTCTATCCAGACGAGAGATTGCTCGTTGCCACTCGTGTATTCGTCACTCGCGTGCCCACCACCACCAACGCGCACGAAACGTCGCTCCAATTGCGATTTTGCACCCGCGAGTCGCGCGATCCTCGCCACCACGGATTGTCTATGTCCAACGGCGAGACGCGGACGCTTGGCACGACTAAGTTCTTCGAGCCGTTCGATGCACTCGTCGCATCGTTGCAACCACGTGAAGCACTCCACCAGAGTAGCGACCTGGCCGCACTGCTCCAGCAGTTCGCGTTCCACTCGCTCGTGGTTTTCCATGTCTTTTTTTCAGTCTTTAAATCACGTCATCGCACGATGGCCAGCCATATTTTCCACATTCATGTTTTTTTTTTTGCTCACAATGTCATTCACAATACTGTTCACAATAGTTTTTTCACTGTGTACACGTTTGGCACATGCGGCACAGGACTATCTTGTACAATCGGCGATCGGCAATTCGTACATGACCTGCTTAGCCTACCGAAAGAACCGGTCTCATGCTTCCTGTAGATATACATCCCAGCGTCGGTAATGTCCGCTATATTGAACATGCATTCGGTACACAAGGCTAGAGCACCACCCGTTGTGAAATAATCGTGTGAAATGCAGACTTTGGTACGAGGATTCAGTGTACGAATTTCTGCGACTGATATGAACTTTTCAACAACATCCATT